GGACCGATCCATATTCATGTCACATTCTTATACCTCAAGTTCCGTCTCAAGTTCCGTCTCACTGTCCATCTCCTGTTTGAATTGATGGCGCAGTTTTTTGCACATCGCCTTATTTAAGTAGTTGGAGGTCCGCAGTGGTGAAAAAAACTGTGCGTAGCAGCCCAACCAGCCTCTGATTAAGACAAGAGCGCAGATATCCAAGGTCCGTGTGGCTGGAATGTGCTTGTTACGCCGTTGAGAAAATGGAATTCAGGAACGTATTGAGTCAAGTGTTCCGAGATGAACACGCACAACGGTGTCAAGGTCACCGCACCACCGTTTCTCTTTCTTCTTGGCAGAAGATGCGCGTGTTATGCATGATGCGTGGATCGAATTAATGAAGACTCCTGTACACGAATACCTCGTGCAGCGAAAAAGCTTCGGATTTTTACCGCCAGCTCGTCCTTGGCCTCCAAATAGCTCTCGGTCGTCCTATTCCAAACGCACAAAACACCTATCAGCATCATCGGTCTTTGTTCCAAAAATGCGAGGGGCGAAACACTTCACACAGCCAGAGCGTCACGCTGAGCGAACCGCAGATCCACGCGTTGGCTGCAGATCGTGACCGGCGACACTTTTGCAGCGTCGTTCACTTCGCGCACTCTGCGCTCGTTATAGCCGTGACCCGGGAGGGTGGTAGTTATCTCAGTAGCGGCAGAGTAATTGATTCGGCCTCGCCTAAGCGCCGACGCGCTGCCGCCGGCTCGGTCGCAGGCGAAAAGGCCTCCTCGCGTCGTGTTGTGAGGACGCTCGTGTCACAGTCTAGTAGCACGCGAAGGAGGGCGGTGTGGGTGACAGGAGGGAGAGGGCGGGCGAGAGAAGCTTGAGAGCGGAATGGTTGGTGGGGAGAGGGGAGAGAAGGGAAAGGGGGTTGGAAGGTGAAAGGGAGACGCGAAGGGACGGAACTGAGGGAGTGCGGGTGGCAGAGTGGAATAAGGGAGAGGGAGGACGAGATGATGGGAAGCGGGGAAAGGGAAGGAAGAGTCGAGAAACTGCAAAGGAGACGAAGACGGCGGGAACATGAAAAGAGGGATGAGGATAGTGCAGGAGACAATGCATATTGAGAGATCGTTTCAAGATAGCGACAAATGGCAGATGGGAAAATAATGTAAGAATATTGGCTCATAGAGGAAGATCATAACGGCTTAGAGGATTTTAATAGAGAGAAAACATAGATAGGGTGAGAAACGGGGAGGGAGAAGCAAGGGCAAGAACAGATCAGGGAAATGGGTAAACAAAACTAGGGGAGGCGCGACCGTGGATAGCTGACGGGGACACACACAGGTGAGAGTAGACGCCCAGCCGAGGCCGCCCTGTTCGGGGGAGGTCGCGCGGCGGTGTCGTCACCGGGCAGGGTCAGAAGGTCGACAGGGCCCGCCCGGCCCGGCGTCGCCCGCTCACAGTCAGCTGACTGACCGTCAGCTGACTGACCATCAGCTGACCTGGCCCAGGGCGTGGCCGGCCGGTCGAATGATGAGGGGGAGGCGGCGGGCGGCGGGCGGTGGAGCGCTGCAGATAAAGGCGGCTGAGCAAGTGAGAGCAATGAGAAGATTGCGGGATAGTTGGACGGAGAAATAGATGAGCGACGACATAAAGTGGCGAGAGAAGAGAGTGGTGAGATATAGGCCTTGTTGCCTTGGAATGATAACGAAAGTAATGAAATAGTCCGAATATTCAGAGAGGAACGATGGGGCTATCGTACAGTGTTAGCGTTAGCACGTTGTCTAGGAGGCGGCAAAATGATCCCATTGGCAAAAACTCCTCAAATGTTTGTATGATTGCAGATCAAGAACGGGACTTATGCAATCTTTTCTGTTACAGAATTATTATTGATGGTATCTATGTCACATATCTATGGTACATAATTATTGGAGCTTTTCCAAGTACAGCCTGCCGTAATACAAATGCGGCACAAAATATAGTATATATATACACACACACACATATATATATATATATATATATATATATATATATATATATATATATATATATATATATACGTCATGTCAATAATCAAACAGTTTGAAAAGAGGTTATATATCTCTGTGACCTAAATACTTCCTTGGTTTGAGACGGACGATAGTATTCACTAACTGGAACGGCCTGCCCACCTGAAAGACATTAACGCGAATGACCAGCATTAATTTACACGCGTCGTACGAAAGCTGGCCCAACAGTCACCACCGTCGGGAATGTGACGCACTGGATCCCCTAACACTGAGGCACCACCATTGCCGGGGACCAGGTGTGACACTGCCACCTGTCCTGGCCAACACGACACATGGTCCTGGCCAACACCGGACACCTGGTCCTGGCCAACCACCTGACACCTGGTCCTGGCCACACAGACACCTGGTCCGGGCCGACACCGCCACCTGGTCTTGGCTCAAACACCGACACCTGGTCCTGGCCGACACCGCCACCTGGTCCTGGCCAACACCGACACCTGGTCCTGGCCAACACCGACACCTGGTCCTGGCCAACACCGACACCTGGTCCTGGCCAACACCGACACCTGGTCCTGGCCAACACCGACACCTGGTCCTGGCCAACACCGACACCTGGTCCTGGCCAACACCGACACCTGGTCCTGGCCAACACCGACACCTGGTCCTGGCCAACACCGACACCTGGTCCTGGCCAACACCGACACCTGGTCCTGGCCGACGCCGACACCTGGTCCTGGCCGACGCCGACACCTGGTCCTGGCCGAAAGCGACATCTGCTCTTGGCCGACACCGACAACTGGTCCTGGCCAACACTGACACCTGGTCCTGGCCAACACCGACACCTGGTCCTGGTCGACGCCGACACCTGGTCCTGGTCGACGCCGACACCTGGTCCTGGCCAACACCGACACCTGGTCCTGGTCGACGCCGACACCTGGTCCCGGCCGAAACCGACATCTGCTCTTGGCCGACACCGACAACTGGTCCTGGCCGACACTGACACCTGGCCCTCGCCGACACCGCCACCTGGTCCTGGTCAACACCGACACCTGGTCCTGGCCTACACCGACACCTGGTCCTGGCCAACACCGACACCTGGTCCTGGCCAACACCGACACCTGATCCTGGCCAACACCGACACCTGGTCCTGGCCAACACCGACACCTGTTCCTGGCCAACACCGACACCTGATCCCTGGCCAACACCGACACCTGGTCCTGACCAACACCGACACCTGGTCCTGGCCAACACCGACACCTGGTCCTGGCCAACACCGACACCTGGTCCCGGCCAAAACCGACACCGACACCTGGTCCTGGCCAACACCGACACCTGGTCCTGGTCAACACCAACACCTAGTCCTGGCCAACACCGACACCTGGTCCTGGTCAACACCGACACCTGGTCCTGGTCAACACCAACACCTGGTCCTGGCCAACACCGACAACTGGTCCTGGTCAACACCGACACCTGGTCTTGGCCAACACCGACACCAGCCACTGACAGGAGGTACGAGCTCGCGCCCGGAGCGAGCCTTATACCGCGTTAACGCGTTTTGTAGTCGGCCCTTCGTAAACCGAAAACAAATTATGTAATGAAGTGTCAGCTTTGCTGACCGGGACTGACCCTCCCCACACAGATCATATTCGTGAATTGAATTGTTGAATTTAAAACACGAGGAACATGAAATGGTGCGGTCACCGCACAAAGGTCAGACTCGCCAACCGCGACGCTAGGCGTCTGAAAAGCCGAGGTTGGAGAGAATGTGGGGCTTACATTGCTACCATCCACGCATCGCCATGGGGTTTAAGTTAGCGGCTCGATACCTTTGTTCGGGGAGCGCGGGGGACTTTCCACTTCACGGGTTACAAATGTCAACAGATGGTTCGTTGCGATGCACGCATGCAAGTACGATGAGCACGCTGCATAACTGTGGATTTCTAAACACTGGCCTGGGCATCGGAGACGTGCTCGCAAACTTTTTATTCTTTGCTATTTTGCGCTAAACGAGACCCGCAAAAATGCTGCGTAAGTCTTGTACGCGCTTTTCCGTGCTGCATGCAAGCTCCTTCACGCCCCATGGGTTCGTAACACATCCCTGAACTATAAGCAACCATACCGGTAGGCCCACCATCCAAACAGATCCGTGCCCATGCTGTTTATCTTGTCACAGCAGAAGACCTATTTTTGACTTAAACCACACATCTGCCTGCTGTGCTAAGGCGTAAGTCGCTTATGCCTGTCACAGTTTGCAATCCAATGCGATGACTTCACCGAGAGACGGCTTTAAATGCCGTCTCTATCTGGTACACGGCGGTACATCTCTTCTCCATGTGTTAAATGCACCCCTATAAACCGACGTCAACCTCGCGCGCCGAATTTCTGTCTCTGGTCTCCAACGTGCTTCAGGCAGTGACCCAGATCCTGCCTGTGCACCACCCACCACCATTTCGGTTTTCGATTCCAACGATTCCCTTTTGTGGATGCCCGCCAGGTGACCAGAGAATTAAGAAGCAGCGCCGGTTCGCAGCCCGTTTATTTCGCGCCCGATCGACTGGTCACATTACCAGGCTGGTGTCATGGCCGCCGTTCTTTAATGGCGCCGGTGAAAGGGAGTCGGTGCGATCGCCTTATCTCTCGTATCCAGTTCGATGAATTATTGGGCAAACAGGCGCATCAGTTGGGCGGACCTGCGCGACACGCTGCACACTTACACCGCGCACACCACAAATCGTAGCCTCATGTCCAGCACACTAATGAGCCCACACCAAAAATCGCAGCCTCAAGACGGGCACAGTAATGGGCCGATAAACCACCGCGGGCGCCTGCTGCTGCACCGCATTTAGCATTTCTGCTGGAAAAGATTCCTTGCAAGACTGAGCTGTAATCTTACGCGCATCACCTCTTGCAGGTCACGTGACCGCCGGTCGCCATGGGAACGCGACCCCTCGGCAGCGGCAGGGCAGAGCAGACTGCGTCGGCAGGGAGGAGCGGAAGCGCCATGTGAAGATGCCTCGCTGGACCCTGCCGCTGCTGCTGCTGCTGCTGCTGCTGTCGCTGCTGCCTTTCTCCAACGGCTTGCCGGCCGGCAGCGGCGGAGATGAGGCGTCAGGTGAGGATTAGCGGCTCTGGGGAGGGATGGGGATGGCAAGCGAGCAACAATATCAGATGCTGGGTCTCTGGATGCTGAATCCGTCCTTGGAGCGGGATCATCGGAGTGAGCCCGCTCACACATAGTTCTGTTCCAGTGAAGCCTCGTGGAGGAACTGGACATACGAAAGGTATTTGCCACTTAAAGCGCTAAACACTTATAGAGTTCGCGTCTGGAGTGTCAGGATGTTGCTCTACTAGCCCAACTTCTGCGTGGCGTGACCGGGCGGTTCCAAAATACGCTGTCTCTTTCCCGATACTGTTAGAAAGGGAGGACTAAAATGTAGTGTCGGCGACAGCAGTCATGGCCTGTCCCGGAGCTCGTTTGGTTCAGAAGTCAAGCTGCGTAAGCCTTCCCACGAAACCAATTAAACGCTCGTATTTTTTGAATTATTGGCCGACTGTAAACGTCAGTGAGATCGACTTTTTACTGCCCATGCTGTCGTTTATACCACATATTTTAAGCGGCTAGATCATGGTGCCTTGCTCCAAAGTCCTAATGCGACTGTTCGCAGTCCTCACTTGGGGTGTCGCCAGTGAGGGAGCGAGCAGGGGGGCATTACCCTTTGCTATTGCATAGCTCGCGAGTGGTGAGGGCAATTTTATTGTCTCAACTTATTAACCATTTAAATAATCGGTCGTCACCCAAATCATTGCTACATCTGCAAAGCTTCAGCTCTGGCGACGCCTTTGATACTGACTCAACCAATCAGCGATGAGATCTGTGGCACCTGTCTGGTTGGGGTCTTCCGCTCCGGAGATTCGTCATTGCGAGCAGCTGTTTGGCCGGACTCCAACACTGTTTCAGAGCAGCAAGCGCGTCAGGTTTGATATCTGTCAGCCGCGGTCAGCCAATTGGAAAGAATTGGTCGCTGTGGAGTCGGCCATATCGCCTGGCTTCGTTTCACTGGACAGAGTCAATGGCGGACCAAATGATCAGAACCCGAGTTGTTGCTTCATAGCACTAATTTAATTAATGCTCTGGTTACATCCAAGCCTAGTCACAATCCAGCTTCATAAAAAGTGTCCCAAAGGGTTCTCCTCGCTGGACGTGAATGTCTGACAAATACAGGTTTCTTGAGATGCGTCGCTTGTGAGTTATGCTGTTTCATTTTGGATCTTCGGCATGAATAACTCATCTGATTATGGATCATGTTAACGCCACTGTTTTTGTCACCAGGCTACGCCGCGCCACAATTGAAGCAATTAAGCTCTTCACGTCACGTTGCTTATTAGTCAACGAACATCCCTTTCGCTCAGGCCACCATTTAGAATAACAACTTGTTTATTTTGACAAAGCCCGTCAACTTTTTGAACCTACACTAAACTATGCAGTCGCTGCTTGAAATTGACAGAGAACTGTATTATCTTGACAATGACTTCCCTTTCGATTTTTAAGCTGCGCAAATTGCATGAGTGCACGCTATTGTTAGCTGTTTATTTTTTGGCGTACCCTCGGAACTGCAAGGCAGTAACTCAGAAAGGACCGCGTGGCCCTTCGCTTCGGACATCTGAGGTCGAAATCCGTTGTTCGTTGGAAAAACTTAGTCCAAGTGGAGCTCCAGACATGTTGAACAAGAACTTGGTTCATTAGGTTCAAGCTTGCAATATTATTTTTATAAACGAATCGCTCCTGAGGCTTTTCTTTCGCCAAGAAAAAAGTGCCTTCGCGGAGAAAGAAAGTGTTTTCGCGGAGAAAGAAAGTGCAGCGTTTCTAGACGTGGAAATGCATCATATCTGCGACGTTTTATAGCTATGAGAGCAGGTTTTCCAGAATGCCGCTTCCTCGGCGAAATGAGGAATGAGATTGGACGAGATAGAACCGATATTTCAACTGACCACAGAGCGGATTCACCCCCAGGTTGGGAAGCGGATTTCTTTTGGCAATGACAAACGGACCTCGGACCACAAACGCCCTCCCCCTCCTGCCCCCCCCCCCCCCCCCCCGGCAGCTGAGTTCCATCCGCCCCATAGCACCGCACCACATCTAACTTGCACATCCCACCCTTAACTCGCGCCTCGCACCTCTAACTCATACCTCGCACGCGTCTCCCGGGCGCCGACAACAGCCACACCCCCTCAGCGTCCAATCAGCGCGAGCCAGGCCCTGTGGCGTCAAAGCGGCCGGCGCCGCAGCCGTCGTCTGGCGGCCACGCGCCGGCTGCCCTGCTCACCTTCAGACAGCGGGCAGGCGAGCTGTGACGCAGCAGGCGAGGGCGGTCGGGAATGCTGGCGCCGTCGGCTCGGTGGATTAGCCGCGCCGCCGGGGCGGCCGCCTCGCGATGGTCCGTGCCGATGCGGAGTTGGCAACAGAGTTACGGGCAGGCGGACAGTTGGAGCGTCGTATGCTGTCGAGACTGAGGCTTTTCATTAACGCGTGGCTAATGAGTCGCCATACACTGATGGGCGAAGGGCTTCAAGGGGTGGGGTTTGAAGACAGGTCACTCGATTCAGAAACAGACGCATCGCTCGTCCAGTTCTTTACAGCGCTCGTCGGAATTCTTCATATCATCCGTCAATGATGACGTGGGGCCTGATGCGAATTTTTTATGCGAACTCGCTGTGCGCGACGTAAGCTTCGGTGCCGATATTAAAACGACTCCAACAGGGCGGCCGGTCGGGGTGGCGCGGCCCCAATGACCTCGCATTCAAAGACCACACAAGTCATCAACATGGGGCATGCTATCGCCAACAAAATAAAACGACTACCATTCCAGCCCGAGCCTTGCAACCGCCCAGTTCCAGTGCGAGGTCTCACGTGACGGGCGCGTCACGTGACGAATCACGTCACGTGACGAGGCGAAGAGGGCGGCCATCAGATCCGCGCCCCTGTCGTCACGGACGGGTCTGAGCCGTCCTGCAGTCGCCAGGCGTGACCAGACCTACGAGCCCGACCCCAGGCCAGCCTCCAGCTTGCACAACAGCCGTCTGGAGTGGGCCGCGCGTGCGCGTGACCTTTGCCCAACCTCTGTCCCGGCCAGGCACGCCAGCCCGGCTCACGGCCGCGCCTCGCCCGGGCCAGCGTCATACAGGGGAAGTACGAACGTGCGCCGTTTGAAGTCGTGTCGCGTATGCTTGCGGGCCCGAGGCAGGAAAAGATGCTATTCAGCTTCTTTTTTTTTTAATTGGACGCGTCGAAGCAACTGCATTGTTTGCAGCGTTAACGCTCGTGCAGGGTAAAAGCAACGTACCTAGTTCTGTTTTTTCGTCGTATAGGGCTACACACTTTGCTGGGTTAGAAAAAAAAAAGTTTTCGTGTCATGGTATTGGAAATCGGTACAGAATCAACGCTGGCGGTGCTGGAGCCGTGGTTGATCATGTACTGAACCTACCAGCAAAACCCAGGACGTTTTCTTGGCTAAATATGCCAAGAGATAGTACCAGTCACGTTGTCGGGAGTCAGCCATGCTTTGCTGGCTGAAGGCTAGTGCTCATGCTTATTCTATGGTGTCAGTACCAGCATCAGGCGTATACATATACTTATATATAGACATATATATATATATATATATATATATAGATATATATATATACACACATACACACACACACACACACATACACACACACACACATATATATATGTATATATATCTATATCTATATCTATATCTATATATATATATATATATATATATATATATATATATATATATTCCCGAGTCCAGGTGTCAGCGGTAAAGTACATTAGGAAAGTGCCGTTCCCATCGACCTGACCTTTTCCCTGAATGCTTGGATCAGAGTTTTTTCCCTGAGCGTGTGCTCGCCATGGCTTGTTTAGCGATACGCACGTGCACTGCGACCAGAGGGACATGGCGTGCCGAATCCGCCGTTAGCTGGGTCGTGGGCGCTGGGCTTTCAATAAGCCAAAAATTATATATTCCATCAGTTTCTCTGCTCGCATCGAAACATGGAATCAACAGAAGAGCACCTAACGAAGGCTAAACTGGCGGTATGTCAAATGTACCCTGGGAACAGCTGTTTTTACATCTCAAAGAAAAGTATGGAAGGATTGCAAAGTACACGCCACGCATCTTAATACCGATTAAAGGACGACAAGGATCGCAAAAAGACAAAAACTTCGCCTGTCGGTGGCGTGCAAACCAGTCTTGTGATGTCTCCATCCAGACCGAGGCCATTCACGCAAAATTAAAAAAAAAATGACCAAGACTTTCTCACATTCAAGACATTCTCACGGAAAATTGTACTGGGCGTTATGGGTATGTCGTTGACCCAGTCGCAGATAGCAAGTGACATAGAACGCAATCACCGACATGTCCAATTACCCTTAATACCCGCGGCCTGATAGTGGTTTTATGATCACCCTTTTACCCTTTTATCCTTAAAATCCGCGGTTTGTGGTCTTATGACTCGAAATCAATTTTGAACAGAAGACAGGCAGTGGCAAACCAGAATCCTGCAGAACTTGGTTTATTAAGTGATCTAAGTTTTTATGAGAGCTGACATCAGTGCCAGCGCGACAGTCATACCTGTCGCTACCTTCCAACCAATGCACCGGATTTAATTCACTTGGTGTCAAACTTCGACGTGTATTTCAAGCACTATGACAAAGTGCGCGCATGAGAGAAGCAGCCTCTCTCTCCCCACGCAGCAAAATTCCGTGATTTGTTAGTGGCTCCGTTCCTACCCTTGTAGTTAGGGAGGCTAAGTTTGAACGTCTGTCACAAAAGTGAACTCTGATTTTTTGTTATGTCTGTTGGATGTATCTGTGCACCTTTACTGCTAGCTTTTAAAAAACGAAACGATGTTTACGTACCTGGCAATATCACACAACAACGTGTCCAGATGTACATATCACTGTCATGGTTAAGCTAAAGTTTCTTTGCTGAGAAATAGCGGACATCTGAGCACTTACACTTTTTTAAGCATCCTGCAGTGCTTCATAGCGTGCCTCGACGTACGTGTTGACGATCTCGACCCTTTTATCGTTATGTATCACCT